TCTCCAACTCTGCCAAGCCGCTAATGCGTTTGTTTATCGCGGGCATTCTCGGGACTGTAAAGAAGCTGCTAAACGTTGCTTGTCCAACTCAGCAATCACTCCAGGCCTGGACGAACATTTCAGACGAATCCCCCGTGGAATCACAAAGGCGATGTTTGTGGCTATTGTTTAGTTGCCTACGGATCATTGTCTTCAAGTTAATGTGACTAATTGATTCCTTTCAAAGGGAGTCACGCAGAAAAGAGCAACAGTGGTGTAATCCTTAAAAGCTCACATCATATGAACGCCGTCCGTTCTGAAATGAACTGAGACCACCACTGCGACCTCAGGGCACATTCAGCCAAAACTTCTGCCAGAAAACAAGTCCACGAGTCTATCAAACAGTCATTTGTAACCTCTGGAGCTCAAAAAGAATCACGTTTTTTATTATTATTATTATTTTAATTTTTTTGTCAATGAAATAAATGTACAATATTTTAGCTTGATATGGTTTTTAATATTTAAGGGATTTCTTTTATACTAAATTATATTTACGCTGTATATGCAATCCATTTATAGACCATTTCCAACTTAAACTGTCGTAAATCTTGAACGCTTTGGAGCCACAGACTGAAGTTGACACTTGGCAGATTATTGCTGAAGCAAAAACAAGTTTTTAAAAGAATTTAACGTTTATTGCAACGCATTCTCATCCCAAGGCGTCATATACGACGCTTTTGCCAAAGCGTAGACATCCAACGCACATGGCGCCCTTTAGCGTCAATATAACACACTTCGGTTATGGGTAGGTTTAGGTGTGGTGTAGGGTTAGGGATAGACCACTAGGAGGCGCCTTCTGCCCCATATATATCTGTGTCTCATATTGACGCTAAAGGGTGCATGTGTGTCGGATGCCTATGCATTGGCAAAAGCGTCAGTATATGACGCCTTGGGATGAGAACGGGCTGTTGTAAAATGTGTGCATGATTTGAAAAAATGGTCCTGAAAAAAAATATTCGCACTTGTGCTCCTCGCGCATTAGAATTGAATCGGAGACGAATTTCATCTATTGGAAACTTTTGTTTGGCTGACTTGTTTGTTTGACTTTTGATTCTGACTTTATATCTCACAATTCTGACTTTATATCTTGCAATTCTGACTTTATATCTCACAATTCTGACTTTATATCTCGCAATTCTGACTTTATATCTCGCAATTCTGACTTTATATCTCGTAATTCTGACTTTATAACTCAAAATTCTGACTTTATATCACGCAATTCTGACTTTATATCACGCAATTCTGACTTTATATCTCACAATTCTGACTTTATATCTCACAATTCTGACTTTATATCTCACAATTCTGACTTTATATCTCACAATTCTGACTTTATATCTCGCAATTCTGACTTTATATATCACAATTCTGACTTTATATCTCACAATTCTGACTTTATATCTCACAATTCTGACTTTATATCTCGCAATTCTGACTTTATATATCACAATTCTGACTTTATATCTCACAATTCTGACTTTATATCTCACAATTCTGACTTTATATCTCGCAATTCTGACTTTATATCTCGCAATTCTGACTTTATATCTCGCAATTCTGACTTTATATCTCACAATTCTGACTTTATATCTCGCAATTCTGACTTTATATCTTGCAATTCTGACTTTATATCTCACAATTCTGACTTTATATCTCACAATTCTGACTTTATATCTTGCAATTCTGACTTTATATCTTGCAATTCTGACTTTATATCTCACAATTCTGACTTTATATCTCACAATTCTGACTTTATATCTCGCAATTCTGACTTTATATCTCACAATTCTGACTTTATATCTCGCAATTCTGACTTTATATCACGCAATTCTGACTTTATATCTCGCAATTCTGACTTTATATCTCACAATTCTGACTTTATATCTCGCAATTCTGACTTTATATCACGCAATTCTGACTTTATATCTCGCAATTCTGACTTTATATCTCACAATTCTGACTTTATATCTCACAATTCTGACTTTATATCTCGCAATTCTGACTTTATATCACGCAATTCTGACTTTATATCTCGCAATTCTGACTTTATATCTCACAATTCTGACTTTATATCTCGCAATTCTGACTTTATATCTCGCAATTCTGACTTTATATCTTGCAATTCTGACTTTATATCTCACAATTCTGACTTTATATCTCACAATTCTGACTTTATATCTTGCAATTCTGACTTTATATCTCGCAATTCTGACTTTATATCTTGCAATTCTGACTTTATATCTCACAATTCTGACTTTATATCTCACAATTCTGACTTTATATCAGGCAATTCTGACTTTATATCTCACAATTCTGACTTTATATCTCGCAATTCTGACTTTATATCTTGCAATTCTGACTTTATATCTCACAATTCTGACTATATCTCACAATTCTGACTTTATATCTCACAATTCTGACTTTATATCTCACAATTCTGACTTTATATCTCACAATTCTGACTTTATATCTCGCAATTCTGACTTTATATCTCGCAATTCTGACTTTATATCTCGCAATTCTGACTTTATATCTCACAATTCTGACTTTATATCTTGCAATTCTGACTTTATATCTCACAATTCTGACTTTATATCTCACAATTCTGACTTTATATCTCGCAATTCTGACTTTATATCTCACAATTCTGACTTTATATCTTGCAATTCTGACTTTATATCTCACAATTCTGACTATATCTCACAATTCTGACTTTATATCTCAGAATTCTGACTTTATATCTCGCAATTCTGACTTTATATCTCGCAATTCTGACTTTATATCTCGCAATTCTGACTTTATATCTCGCAATTCTGACTTTATATCTCACAATTCTGACTTTATATCTCACAATTCTGACTTTATATCTCACAATTTTAAAAGAATTTAACGTTTATTGCAACGCATTCTCATCCCAAGGCGTCATATACAAGGCGTCTCGCAATTCTGACTTTATATCTCACAATTCTGACTTTATATCTCGCAATTCTGACTTTATATCTCGCAATTCTGACTTTATATCTCGCAATTCTGACTTTATATCTCGCAATTCTGACTTTATATCTCGCAATTCTGACTTTATATCTCACAATTCTGACTTTATATCTCGCAATTCTGACTTTATAACTCAAAATTCTGACTTTATATCTCACAATTCTGACTTTATATCTCACAATTCTGACTTTATATCTCGCAATTCTGACTTTATATCTCGCAATTCTGACTTTATATCACGCAATTCTGACTTTATATCACGCAATTCTGACTTTATATCACGCAATTCTGACTTTATATCTCGCAATTCTGACTTTATATCTCACAATTCTGACTTTATATCTCACAATTCTGACTTTATATCTCGCAATTCTGACTTTATATCTCACAATTCTGACTTTATATCTCACAATTCTGACTTTATAACTCAAAATTCTGACTTTATATCACGCAATTCTGACTTTATATCACGCAATTCTGACTTTATATCTCGCAATTCTGACTTTATATATCACAATTCTGACTTTCTATCTCACAATTCTGACTTTATATCTCGCAATTCTGACTTTCTATCTCGCAATTCTGACTTTATATCACACAATTCTGACTTTACATCTCACAATTCTGAGCAATAAAGTCAGAATTGTGAGATAAAAAGTCGCAATTACTTTTTTTTTATTTTTCATTCTGTGGCGGAAACAAGCTCCCATACAAAACCTTTACCAAGTTTAAGTAAAAATAAATAAATAATAAAAAAATAGTAAAATATTTTGTTATAAAAATGACCAAAAAACACCAGAGGGTTAAAGATAGAGACTGTCCATTGATGGTTCCATGAGAGTGGAAAAATATAATTTAAAGGGATTGTTCACCCAAAAAATACAAACATGTATGAGTTTCTTTCCTCATGATTTTTTGAAGAATATTGCTAATCAAAAGCAAAAACTTGATGGGCTCAACTGACTACCATAGTATGAAAAAATAAATAAAAAATGGGACCAGAAACCATTTGGACAGCAAAATATCCTCTTTTGTTTTCAGCACAAGAATGAAATTCATACAGGTTTGGAACAACTTGAGGGTGAGCAGATGATGACAGAATTACATTTTTTGGGTGAACTATAAAAAAAATGTTGCACTAAGAACTGTTACTAAGAACTAACAGCACTAAGAACTGTTCCATGGGTAAACAAACCAGTCACATTTCCACAAAAGCCTCGTTTTGCAATATTTTTAAGTCTAATCACCTTAATTATCAATGAACTATTCATGAGAACTGTGCTTTCATGGGACCTGAGAGAGACAGGACAGGGAAATGTGTGTCGGATTGCTTAGTAAAGTTAAGTAATTATTTGCATGCACAATTATTTGCGACCGTTTAGCACCTGATTCACTAATTGAAATATGCAGATGAGGCAGCGATGCTAACGTGTCCAAACATCTGTGCTGGCGCACGCACACCTGTATAATCTCTGAAATAATGCCGAGTTATGGCGCGCTTCTCCATCATCTGACGCTTCCCTGTCGTCATGATCGCTAGAAAGTGCACATAAAGATAAATGCTCAGTCACTTAGACAAATAACGTTCAGCTTTACGCATAAATAACAGTCTGTAATGAGTCTAATTTACATAAGGAGGGCATGTTTGCATGGAAATGAATACTCAAGGTGCAGTGCTATTTGTGTTGTTTTATTTTTTTATTTTTTGGGTCAGTAAGACATTTGAAATAGCATGTGAATTTGCCCCGTTCAAGCTATTTTTACTAAGAAATTGCTAGTGATTTTCATAAACAATTAACATTGAATTAATTCCAATGGATTTACAGTGTCATGACTTTCAAACATCAATAAATATCTGTTCACAAAGACGCCTGAATGATGAATGACATTTGCGGTTGTGGTTCTGATAATCTGGTCACATGACACTGCCCTTCTCAACACATAAACACAGAACACTGATTGGTCATCTAGTCTGGAGGGATACTGCATGTGTTGTGAGGCAGATGAGCGTGATTGTCATGATTGAGAATGATCCGCACAGTCGACGTCTGAATATCAATGCGAAGCGGGTCAAACGTGTGCTGGGTTAATTCTCCGATCATCTTCCCTTTCAAAAGTACAAGAAGATCGTTCGTGTTTTTGAGATTGTTCCTCTAATCACTCAGAAAGAGAACAGAAGCATCTTTCACAGATTCTCTCAGCCCTTTATTTCATTATCCACACTGCAGAAAGTCCCATTCTCACATCGGAAACAGAAGTACGCCGATGTGAACGTTTAAACGTTTGTGTTGTGAATGTGGATGTTTTCTCAGAGGATGAGGTTTTTAATTAAGAAACTCTTTTTATTCCCAGTTCCTTGCACAAGTACACTGTTATGAGCTCAAAACACTTTCGTAAACACGTTTTAAACACGTGTGTTTGTGTGTGTTTGACAGGTTGAGTGTTTCAGATGTAAACACACGAGCACAAAGCCAGCGTTGGACTCACTGGGCGGCCTGATAACAGTTTATCGATCGTCAGATTCCCGCTCCATCTATTAGTGGTGTGTGTGTGTGTGTGTGTGTGTGTGCAGGCAGTTAACAGCAGCAGGTGTAGAGGAATGAATCAAAAAACACATTGAGATGAGAAGTTACTGTAGGGAAAGACTAGTTGTTGTACAAAGCTGTGGTGACCGGTCTATTTGTCAAAGCACAACATTTCCTGGTTTACAGGAGCTTCACGTGTTCATCGTCACAGAGGCTTTCCCTGATGCTCAAGATCAAGAACTAACTATTTGCCAGTAAGGTAAGAAAAAAGCTTGATGGTAAAAATATTTCTGGGATGAGAGTAAAGCTGTAAAATCTACACATAAAAGCAGGGAGAAACTAATAAAATATAAACGATGAAGGCATGAGGTAAAGAACTTCCCAGAGTTGTGATGTGATCTTCATATATAACAAAAAGCAGTATGGCGGCTTCATACTTTTAGGTTGGGCAGATTCTGGGTCTTATTGCCAGCTTATGATAAGCTTTATTATATTGTAATCGCTGAACACTTTTGGCAGTGGTTGTGTTATTCAGCCTGAGGGTGGCGGTCTAATGTTGATTGACAGGCTTTAAGCAGCCTACACACTACAAACGCATAGAACGATACATGGTGTTTGAACATAAATGTGTTGGCAGTGTAAACCACCGTATAATGTTAAAACCCACCCACTCATTTTTGTCCTTTATTGCCATAAATCATAAGCAGTGTCTCGGAACCAAGCTGTTTGCAGATTGTAGCTTTTGTTAGCATAGACTCCGCCCCTGCTGATAGGCTCCGCCCTGTTAGCATAGGCCCCGCCCACCGCTGCTGACTGACTCCGCCCTATTAGCAAAGACCCATTTCGAGCCGGCGTCACAGTTACGTCACAGCGCTAGCGGGAGGCAAACCAAAGGGAAAACTGGAGGTGGCTAAAACCAAGCACAGATTCGGCTACATAATAAGGAGCTTAAATTATTATTATTACAGTATTATTAAATGTCATCTTGTTGTGTTGTTGGGTGCAAGAATCCATGAAAAATGAAAATTCTGTATCTGGAATTTTTATTTCTAGAAAATATTCACATCATTAAAATCGCACCGTAATGTCACTCTTTACATTGTCGTCTTCTCTGCGGATCGTACACACAAGTCTTGTACACGATCATTCAGCACATAGTTATAGTCATCTAAAGATTTATATGCCCCCTTAGTTTCTTTTTCCGCTCTGTTTCTCTATCGGGTAACGTTAGGTGTAGAAGTCAGGCCACTCAACCAGAGGTAGCATTAGCGTTAACCCTGTTAGATTGTCCATCCATTGACAGCATTTACATTACGGGTCAGCCAATCTGGTTCAACACCACGCTTTAATAATAAACCACAAGGAAAAGGCTCAAACGACGGCAGAGAACGCAAACAAGAATCAAACAGATGAAAAGGAAGAGCTTAAACACAAGCCAAATGAACGATATAACGATAAACACCTGTGCTGATTAAATAAGTAACCATGACAACAGAAGAGTGGCGGGAAACTGAACAAAGGAACGTGTGTGACTGGAAATAACAAAATAAAAGTCCATGAAAACAGAGACTAGCTGAACATAACTGTGACAAATACACACACATCTGAAGCGGGCGGAAATGGTCTCGAGGTTTACGTAAGATAATAAATGTAAGTCTGCAGCGCGTAGTAGAAGCCATCCCAGACAGTAAACTGACATTGAATCAACGTGGAAACGACGTCTCTCGTGACATTGAACTAATTCAACGAATTAACGTTGAACCAACGTCAGACGCGGCATTCTTCAAAGCTAAATGAAAATCGAAAATTGGTTTGCTTTCATAACGTTGAAACAACGCGTTGATTTTCCGTTAGTTTTGAAAGAATGCCGCGTCTGACGTTGGTTCAACGTTAATTCGATGAGCAAAACAATGTCAGATCAACGTTGTTTCTATGTCATATTTCCACGTTGATTCAATGTCAGTTTGCTATCTGGGATATTATTCTCAGTATAGTCTTGAAAATACGAAAAGTATTTGTTGCAGAAAGCTGAACACATTTATAATGTACAATTAATTCAGCTTATATAGGTCTATGAACATTTGGGCTCTTTCCACCTGGCCTTACAGACGACCCACGTCTGACACCAAGTAATATATACTTTAATAAAAATCAACCACCAGAGACACAACAGTGGCTATAGCTGAAGAAACATCCATATATGTTGTTTGCCTCACTTGTATTTTATTGAAGCACAAATTAAAACGGTTTTTATTATATGTGCACAAACTCAAACTATACGCAGGCTATTAGTTCTTACACTGCAACGCAAAAACATATATTTGTGTCTTGTTTCCCAGAACAAACATCTATACATTTTTAAAGCAAGATGCATTTACTTGAGAAGCAACATTGCAGGAGATATTACCTGAAAAACCTTTCATAATTACTAACCAATAAGGTCAGAAAAATAATCTTGTTTTACCTATGAATTCAGTTTTGGCATATATATATATATATATATATATATATATATATATATATGAAGAGTTCAGATGCAAAAACCTCTAAATGCCATTTGAAATTTTCTTCTTTAATGATGATTTTTATCAAACTTGTATATTTAAGTTCAGTAATTTCACTTAAATAACAATTAATAGGTAATTATCATTGCCATTTAAGTGAAATTACTGAACTTAAATATACAAGTTTGATAAAAATCGTCATTAAAGAAGAAAATTTCAAATGGCATTTAGAGGCTTTTGCATCTGAACTCTTCATATATATATAAACTTATTTTAAGTATAAACTTAATTTTGATATTGACAGTCAAACCAAAATGTATTCAGACACCTTCAACATTTCTCAAATTATCAGTTTGGTAATAATATGAACAGAAGTGGATATTTGACTGGTTTTGTCCGTCCTTCTGTTAGACTCACACACATGAATTATGTTGAATATCTGCAAGCTGTTAAATTTAACTACACAATTAGATAATACCAATTACTTTTACATTTAATCACTTAGCAGACGCTTTTATCCAAAGCGACTTACAAATGAGAACAAGCAGAGAAACTAACAATAGGACAGCAATATGCAAGTCTTGTGACCCTTCCCAGTTTAATCTCATGCATACTTTTTATTCATTTATTTTTTTATAAAGATAATAGACCAACCATGTTATTCAGTGGAAAAAGAGCATTTGGAATTACAGAATACACACTTCAGCAAAACATCATCAGCTCAAAGTGGAGGGTTCATTGTTACTGTAGTCACTTTTTGAAGAATATTTTTGTCACAGCTTACTTCATTTTGCTTTCCTCACTTACATTAGTGAACTATAGTGTCCTGCACACACTAGTTACCAATATCAAATATTATATCTGGTGTCTGAATCATTTTTGGTTTGACTATGTATGAAGAGTTCAGATGCAAAAGCCTCTAAATGCCATTTGAAATTTTCTTCTTTAATGATGATTTTTATCAAACTTGTATATTTAAGTTCAGTAATTTCACTTAAATAACAATTAATAGGTAATTATCATTGCCATTTAAGTGAAATTATTGAACTTAAATATACAAGCTTGATAAAAATGATCATTCTAGAAGAAAATTTCAAATGGCACTTAGAGGCTTTTGCATCTGAACTCTTCGTATGCTTCTCATGTAAATGTCTCTTGATTTAAGAATGCGTGTGAGATTTGTTTTATTGCTTTTGTTGCAGTGTGTGCTAATAACTCCGTCTGTACCCGTTTGATGGTGGTTATTTATGTGTCCTTGTAAACCGGCTGGTCACTTTCTATCAATTGATCTGCCAGAGCGCTGACACAGCAGCTCCTCTATCAGACACACAACTATCTGTCGAACACACACACACACACGTCCCGCACCAATCGCACACGACCGCCTCTGCCCAGGACACACCACGCGTCTTTACACAAAATTAATATCATCTGCTGCTATTACAGGCCCGCTGCACACAAAAGATAATCACAAATTAGACCGAATAGCGATTTGCTGACTATTAATCATGTCAATGCGAGTCATTTATCATTATCAAGCCATATGCAAAAGGAATTTAACCAAATGATCAATTATTTTATTAAAACACAAGGCGGGTCACGTTTTTGCAACTGATCAATGGCTCTTGTTTTCAGTGATTGATTTAATTAATAAAGCTAATATATTTACAACTGTAGTGTGTAGCGGAAAGGTTAGAGTTCGAATTAAACCACTGACACTCAACAAACAACGGCAGCGACACAAGCTAATGTTACTATAATTCATGGTTACACTTTACTTCGATGGTCCACTTTAGACAAGCGTATTTTCATTTTCCATATCCACGCGTTAATTTGTTGGTGTTTCTGATCAAAAGATGTCCCGAAAATGGAACTGCTAATAATAATCTGGAGTGTGTTTCCCGAAAGCATTGTTAGCCAACTTTGATCGTTAGTTCTGTCGTTATAATCAGTCCAACGAGTTTGTGTTTCCCGAAAGCATTGTTAGCCAACTTTGGTCACTAGTTCTGTCGCTATCATCAGTTCAACGAGACTGTGTTTCCCGAAAACATTGTTAGCCAACTTTGGTCGCTAGTTCTGTCGCTATCATCAGTTCAACGAGACTGTGTTTCCCGAAAACATTGTTAGCCAACTTTGGTCGCTAGTTCTGTCGCTATCATCAGTTCAACGAGTCTGTGTTTCCCGAAAACATTGTTAGCCAACTTTGGTCACTAGTTCTGTCGCTATCATCAGTTCAACGAGACTGTGTTTCCCGAAAACATTGTTAGCCAACTTTGGTCGCTAGTTCTGTCGCTATCATCAGTTCAACGAGACTGTGTTTCCCGAAAACATTGTTAGCCAACTTTGGTCGCTAGTTCTGTCGTTATCATCAGTTCAGCGAGTCTGTGTTTCCCGAAAACATTGTTAGCCAACTTTGGTCGCTAGTTCTGTCGTTATCATCAGTTCAACGAGTCTGTGTTTCCCGAAAGCATCGTTAGCCTACTTTGGTCGCTAGTTCTGTCGCTATCATCAGTTCAACGAGTCTGTGTTTCCCGAAAGCATCGTTAGCCTACTTTGGTCGCTAGTTCTGTCGCTATCATCAGTTCAACGAGTCTGTGTTTCCGAAAACATTGTTAGCCAACTTTGGTCGCTAGTTCTGTCGTTATCATCAGTTCAACGAGTCTGTGTTTCCCGAAAACATCGTTAGCCTACTTTGGTCGCTAGTTCTGTCGCTATCATCAGTTCAACGAGTCTGTGTTTCCCGAAAACATTGTTAGCCAACTTTGGTCGCTAGTTCTGTCGTTATCATCAGTCCAACGAGTCTGTGTTTCCCGAAAAACATTGTTAGCCAACTTTGGTCGCTAGTTCTGTCGTTATCATCAGTTCAACGAGTCTGTGTTTCCCGAAAACATTGTTAGCCAACTTTGGTCGCTAGTTCTGTCGTTATCATCAGTCCAACGAGTCTGTGTTTCCCGAAAACATTGTTAGCCAACTTTGGTCGCTAGTTCTGTCGTTATCATCAGTTCAACGAGTCTGTGTTTCCCGAAAACATCGTTAGCCAACTTTGGTCGCTAGTTTGTCGCTATCATCAGTTCAACGAGACTGTGTTTCCCGAAAACATTGTTAGCCAACTTTGGTCGCTAGTTCTGTCGCTATCATCAGTTCAACGAGACTGTGTTTCCGAAAACATTGTTAGCCAACTTTGGTCGCTAGTTCTGTCGTTATCATCAGTTCAGCGAGTCTGTGTTCCCGAAAACATTGTTAGCCAACTTGGTCGCTAGTTCTGTCGTTATCATCAGTTCAACGAGTCTGTGTTTCCCGAAAGCATCGTTAGCCTACTTTGGTCGCTAGTTCTGTCGCTATCATCAGTTCAACGAGTCTGTGTTTCCCGAAAGCATCGTTAGCCTACTTTGGTCGCTAGTTCTGTCGCTATCATCAGTTCAACGAGTCTGTGTTTCCCGAAAACATTGTTAGCCAACTTTGGTCGCTAGTTCTGTCGTTATCATCAGTTCAACGAGTCTGTGTTTCCCGAAAACATCGTTAGCCTACTTTGGTCGCTAGTTCTGTCGCTATCATCAGTTCAACGAGTCTGTGTTTCCCGAAAACATTGTTAAACTTTGGTCGCTAGTTCTGTCGTTATCATCAGTCAACGAGTCTGTGTTTCCCGAAAACATTGTTAGCCAACTTTGGTCGCTAGTTCTGTCGTTATCATCAGTTCAACGAGTCTGTGTTTCCCGAAAACATTGTTAGCCAACTTTGGTCGCTAGTTCTGTCGTTATCATCAGTCCAACGAGTCTGTGTTTCCCGAAAACATTGTTAGCCAACTTTGGTCGCTAGTTCTGTCGTTATCATCAGTTCAACGAGTCTGTGTTTCCCGAAAACATCGTTAGCCAACTTTGGTCGCTAGTTCTGTCGTTATCATCAGTTCAACGAGTCTGTGTTTCCCGAAAACATTGTTAGCCAACTTTGGTCGCTAGTTCTGTCGTTATCATCAGTTCAACGAGACTGTGTTTCCCGAAACCATCGTTCTAATGAACATTCGCAAACAGCATCCCAGAAGTTTGTGTGTGAGCGACAGATCTCGAGCTGTGTTTAGAAGCAGAGTTTCTAGTGTTCATCTTGAGCAAAATAAGCAAGCTGACATTCAGTGCATCCTGTGTGTTTCATTTAGCACACACACAAATGTCATTTACGACTTTGAGTTTAAGATTTAAAGTGTATTTTGTGAAGAGTGCGCGTGTGTGAACGAGCTCTAGTATGTGAGAATGAGTCTATAATCGAATCTGGAAATAAAGTAAAATAACTGAGAAAAATTAGAAATAGTGATCGTGATTTTCAGCAAAACATTTCGCATTAAT